TTTTTTATATAGATGCTTGATGTCTTTACTTATCATTTGGTATATTTTTTTTGTAAATCTGACACTTAACCTACCCACAGGGGGGGATTTAAAATTACAACTTTTTCACAACAAATTTACTTTTTCAACATAACTTTTGAAAATGTTCCGGAAGGTCAGACACTTTTATATATATCTTAAATTAAAGCTAATGTAATATACTTTAATTTGAAAAAAAAAAATTTGACCTCTGGACTTGTCTTCATGGCGAAAATGGCTACCGAATGCTATTTTCGTGTGAAAATTCTCAATTTTATTTTTTACATTTTTAACTTTATAATGCTATAACTTATTGAAAAGTTTATGGATCCACACAATTTTTTTATGAGAAATAATATTTTTTAATAAACCCTTTTTCATTCTACATACTTTATCTTAATCAGGATATTAATAAGGAACCAGCAGATCAAGTAGCTTTTGGAATAAAACACCAATTTTTTTAAAATTAAACACTATCTAAAGATTTGCATCGAAGCGTTTATTTTTGATAGTGATTTTAATCACTNAAGCGTTTATTTTTTATCGTAATTTTAATCACTGTCAGATATCATTATACTTGATCCAACTATGCCACGTCACCACTGTGCCGCGACCCCCCTGTGCTGGGTTTTTTTACATGTAAGTAATTTTCTTATGAAAAAATAAAAATTTTAATGATAAAAATAAGTGGTCCCAGAATTCGTATGATAATTCTACTGGAAATATTATAACACGACGTATTTTAGTTTTTGGGAAAACACCAAAATAAGAAGTCCAAAAACCGTAATTTTGGAGATTTTGGAAATGTTTTTTAGAAAATTATATTTATTATTAAATAAAAATATTTTTTCTGATTATTCTCTTCTCATAACGTGACCAAACCATCTAAGTCTATTTTCTATCATCGTACCTACGATTGACGTTACACCTATACTCTTTCTTATATGTTCGTTCCTTATCCTATCTTCTCTGGTCAATCAACTCATCTATCTAAGCATTCTCATCTCTGCTACACTCATTCTACGCTCTACTCTCTTGTCAATCGCCTAACATTCTGAACTATATATCATACTTGATCTTACTGCAGTCTTATAAAACTTATCTTTCAGACTTAACAAAATTTATAGAATAGAAAAAAGCTTGGGATGAAATAGTTAATTAATATAAATATCCTTGTTAGATAATAATAAATTATTGGTTAATATATACACAAAAATAGGTAATACATAGCCTGGTGATAACAATGAATACTTGTTGTTATAGCGTCAGCTCATTTGTACCTTACTAGAACTCAATACCGATATTTTCTACGAGAACTTACTGTCAAAGGTTGGTGATAAAATTGGTGACTCATACGTTAAAAAAGTAGTGGATCTTGGATTACTACAAGATGAACCAGTCAAAAAATTAGGATCACCATTAGACACATTTTCTCATTATATCGGTTCATATTTGGCCTTAAGTAAGCTAAATTCATTTTTTTAAATATTTTTTTTTATATAAAAAGTTTAAATTTTGTTATAGATGAAAATGAAAGAGATTTAGTAGTCTTATATCATGAAATTGGTGTTTTATGGCCAGGAAATAGACATGAAAAAAAAATAGTAACACTTGTGACATATGGTGATATGAAGGGATATACAGCAATGGCTAAAACTGTAGGGATTCCAGTAGCTATTGCGTCAGATATGGTTCTTCAAGGTTCGTTAGAAAAAAATAATATAAGTGGCGCAAATATTTTCCAGACCAATAATAGTTTAATAGTTAGTTTTATTTGGAATCTAAAAAAACATAACCAAAATTTCCTTTTTAACAAAAATAACTATTTGTATTTAATTAATCGTGAACTAGACTATTAATTTTATCCCAACAAAACATCTTTTTTTTACACAATGCTGGCTTATAAAAGGTGTTTCTGGATTTTTTAGTGCTATAAGAAGTAGTACTTTTCATATGAAGACAATGATAGAATGATGACGCATTTTTTTTCATAAGTTCAAAATTACGTTTTTTTTTTAGAGTTTTTTCCTTAGGCTTTCCTTAAAAACAAAAATATATTATACCACAAGATTCACCGTAGAGTTCTGATACAAATTAAAATGTCACTTGATTTTATTTTTCTGAATATTTAACCAGTAATAAAGATAAATTATTAAAAATTGTACGTATCTTTTAAAAAAATATAATTTTAGAGATTTTCTTGGTTTATTAATTTATTATTAAATAAGTAAGAAAAGAAAAACACTTACTATGAGACATTCATTTAAATTTGAATAATGTTGTTAAGTCAATAAAAAAAATGTATTTTAGCTTCGATGCGAAGCTGAGAAGGTATTAGTTTTACTATGATGTGTTATTTTTTGTTTGTGTCTGTTACCACTTTTTCTCAGCTTTCACCAAACCGATTTCTTTCAATGATACATGTACGTCAAAAGATCACAAATCGTATCTAGTCGAAGACATTACCCTCAAAAATTAAAAAAATTTCCCTCGTTCCCAATAAATGAGGAAAACCTACAAAAAAATTACAAATTTAAAAATTGATAATTTTTGAAATTTTTTTTACATAAGACTGTCATAATTTTTTAAAAAATTACCAAATCAATATACTTTTTTTTTTTATAGATGTTTGATGTCTTTACCTATCATTTGGTATATTTTATTTATAAATGATCCTTTACCTGTCCACAGGTGGGGATTTAAAATGACAACTTTTTCAATTTAACTTTTGAAAGTGTTTCGAAAATTCCAACACTTTTATATATACCTCACGGTGAAAATGGTTACCGAATGCTATTTTTGTGTGAAAATCCTCGATTTTATATTTTACATTTTTTACTTTAAAATGCTATAACTTTTTAAAAAATATATGGATCAATACAGTTTTTTCATGAGAAGTAGTATTTATATATATTATTCAGTTGACATATTTTTCTTTTAAATCGTGCTATTTACCTATATACGGAAAGGGTTCAAAACTTAAAAATGCACATAGAAAGTAGAACTTTTGAAATTGTTTCGGAAAGTCGGACACTTTTATATATATCTTAAATTAGAGCTAATGTAATATACTTTATTATGAAAAAAAAAAAAATGTTAATCTTTATTTTGTCTTCGTGATGAAAACAAACATCAAAATTAACAAAAAAATACAATTTTTGTAAAAAAGTTCTTTTTTATATTTTTAACTTTATAATGCTATAACTTTATGAAAATTGTATGGATCAACACAATTATTTTATTATTTAATAATATTTATACCCCTTTTTCATTCGACATACTTTATCTTAATCAGGATATTAATAAGGAACTAGCAGATCATGCAGCTTTTAAAATAATCCACCAACTTTTTAAAATTAAACACTATCTAAAGATTTGCATCAAAGCGTTTTTTATGATATTGATTTTAATCACTGTCAGATATCATTATATTTGATTCAACTATGCACGTCACTACTGTGCCGGGTTTTTTTATATGTAAGTCATTTTCTTATGAAAAAATAAAAATTTTAGTGATAAAAGTAAGTGGTCCCAGAATTCGTATAATAATTCTACGGAAATATTATAAAACGACGTATTTTAGTTTTTGAGAAAACACCAAAGTAAGAAGTCCAAAAACCGTAATTTTGGAGATTTTGGAAATGTTTTTTAGAAAATTATATTTATTATTATATAAAAATATTTGTATAGTAGTAAGAGGAAAATAACTTTAGACCCCTTTAAATTTTTATTCTGAGTACGCTTATATATAAATTTGGGTCTGGAACAATCTACTCGCCACTTGAACCACTGATTTATATACATTGTTCTATTAATTATAATTTATATCATATTAGGCGAGATTCAAGCTAAAGGAATGGTATTGCCATTCACTCCGGATATTTATAGACCAATGTTAACAAGACTGAGACTTGAAGGAATATCAGCTCAAACTATTAACATACAACTATAGAAATTAATATAGTTCAACTCAAATAAAATAATTTATAAATCTATTCAAATTCTTCTTTTGTATTTATTTTTAAAGTAAAATACAAGTACACATTATCAAATGTAAAATTAATAATACTTCAGTAATGGACATAGAAATTAGTAATCGTAAGCATTCCCTAAGGAGTGATAGAGTTTTCTATATACATGATCACAAATATAGTATTCACGTAAAATTACAATACATAAAATTTTAAATTTGGTTGAATCTACACATTAAATAAAATTATAACTCTTAGTTTTAGTTATTATCGATGTGGACATAATGCCCATACACTCAGACCAATTGGTCCATTGTGCGCACATCATACCAAATTTTCTTGTTCCGGTTTACCCTCATACGTGTTATCATATTATATCTATCATTGTGTGGACCATCAAGTCACCCCTATGGATGACCAAAGAGTCCTGTCTTTCCGGCGAAATTAAGTATCTTTCTGGGTATTAAGTTTTTAATATCTTCTTTTTCAGGAAAAGTTTTATTCAAGTAGTTTGATCTTAGTGTGGACAAGGTTTCACATTCGCGCATAATGTGAAATGAGTCTTCCTCTTCTACTCCAAATTTCCTGCACAATGGTGATTTCGATACTCCCATCGCGTAAAGATGTTTAAGCAAGTGATCGGGTCCTATCAGTAGACCAGTCAAAGTGCTTATTTGATGTATAGTCATGCTATTAAGATCACCCAGCAATAGACCAGGGGTCTTGATAAACATTTTAGATTCTCTAGATACTATCAAGTACTTCCTGATTTTTCTTTGTTGTTCTCTGCACCAATTCTTAAGTAGCGCTTTGAGCGATTGCTCAGTGAATCCTACCATTGGTTCTGATCCAAAATAGGTGTTCTCTGCTCCTTTCCTGGCTAGAAAGTCAGCATTTTCATTTCCAGTGACACTGTTGTACCCTGGTACCCACGTTTGTGTAACTTTGTTGAACCTCGATAGTGTTTCTAAAGTTTCCCAGCATTCAAGGACAAGCATTGAATTCACCTGATCATTACAGAGTGTTTTCAAAGACGCCTGACTGTCACTTAAGATAGTTATATTCCTGTATACCAGCAAGTTCCGAGCCCCTACCAGTATAGCTTTCACCTCTTCTTGGAAAACAGAGGGTGTTGTGCCCAATGACATGTAAATAGAATCATTACCATTTATTGAACATTATTTCCCTTGAAGTCATACTTAGTCTAGTTAGGTTTTAAGAGTTGTTTGTAAATCAGTAAAAGTATTTTTATTTTAAGTTTCTTTGGGGGGGTTTTATTATATAATTAATTAAACTGCCACTTCGTGAAAAGAATTTTATAATCGGCTATATGGAACATCAAATCACGGGAAGTAAATTACTATCTAAAGGAGATTGTTTAAAAGTTTTAATCTATAATATGAGATTTACAAAATTAAATTTAAACGAAAGTGCTGCTCTAGTTATAAAAGAATGTTTAGTTTTTTGGAAGAAAGCTCGAATACCGACTCAAGAATCTCATAAATGTAAAGACAAGTTGAAAAAGTTGCATGAGGAATAGAGATCATTAACAAATAATGCCAAATAAATTTCTGAAAATTTAAGATAAAAAGAAAATACGTTTTGAGAAAAAATCAATGATTTATTTAATATAGCCCACCAAAGCGCACTCAAATTGATTAAAATTGAAGAAGATAGGCTATTTTTAAATAAACAAAGAGAAAAAAGATGTTCAAGTTCAATGTTGGGAGTAGATAGAAAAACGAAAATTTATTCGTGAAGAAGAGATTAACACTAGGCGTGATAAGTATTTAATTACGCCGTCTACGTCGACTGGTAAACTCAATTAAATTAATAAAACATACAATTATTAATTTTTTAACTTAAGACAGTAGAACTAAAAATTAATACTATATTTCACAGGAATTATACATTATTCAGATTTTAATGAATGCGATTTTCATGTAAAATTAAATGAAGAAAAAACATTCAAAATATTGGAGATGGTATAATTGATGATTCTGAGTCAGTAATGGAGTTTGTAAATGAAAAAAAATTTCAAAATACTGAAGTTCATACGTTAGTAAAACCTAAACGAGCTCGTAAAGAAATTTTAACACCACGATTAGCTGCAGCACTCGATAAGGGTAAAATAAGTCCAACGGTCCATTTACTTACAGCTTTTTTGGATTCAGCTGATTATATAATTAATCGTACATCTATCTGTAAAGCAAGAAATGATTATCGAAGAACTTACTATGAAAAGGTAAGAAAAAATTATTTAAGTATAGAAAAAGATGTTGTAACAATACATTGGGACACAAAATTATGTAGTAACATTATTTGACAAAAATTCGATAGATTAGCAGTAATTGCAACGTCCCATGTAGTTGATAAACTTTTAGGAGTACCATAAATACCCGCTGAAACTGGTTTAGAAATATGCTCCACTATTTAAGAAGTTATTGATAGCTGGAGATTGATTAATAATATCCAAGCGTTTGTTTTTGACACAACATCATCTAACACTGGGAAATTTAATGGTGCTTGTTCTTTATTAGAAAGGAAAATTGAACGAGATATATTATTTTCGGCTGTCGTCATCATATATACGAAATAATATTATCAACAGTTTTTACAATTTGTAAAGTAAGCGTCATGTGCAGGACCTGATATTCCGCTATTTAAAAAAATTAAAAATCAGTAGGATACCATTATAAAAACTGATTTTTCTACTGGAATTTCTCATGCTAGAGTTCGACATATTTTAAATGATGATATTGACGAGATTTTACAGTTTTGTTTTGATAGAATTGATTTATCGTTTCTGCGAGATGATTATAAAGAATTTCTTATTTTAATTATTATTTTTTTGGGCGGTGTCCCTCCAGAAGGAATAAAATTTAAAAAACCAGGAGCGTACCATTTAGTACGTTGGATGGCTAAAGGTATATACGGCCTAAAAATTTTCTTATTTAGAAATCAGTTTAAGTTAACTAAACTTGAGAAAAATTCCCTCGCAGAACTTAATTGCTTTATTATAAAATGTTACGCTGTGAACTTATTTACTGCCTCAATAAGTGAAATGACTCCTTTAAATGACATCAGATTTTTAAGAAAATTGCATGAATATTTTAAAATTTATAAAGATATTTCTAAAGCTACCATTGGGAAATTTTTAAATAATTTATATTATTTGAATGAAGAATGTTCATATTTTGCATTATTCTATCAAAGAGTAGAAAATGAAACAAAATTGGAAATTGCTAAAAAATTATGTGAAGACATCTTCGATAAAGAAGATTAAATAGAAGAAGACAATGAGACACCCAAAAAACTAATTTTAAAAAAAAGGTGATATTCCATTTTTTTTTAATGATGATAAAACTATTTTAGTTAAACTTATACGTAAAAAATCTCAAAAGATTCAATATAAATAGTGATTTTTTGGACTAAATGGACAAGAAATTAGCTTAATATCGAAAGTTTTTAATGTAAGGTAATGTAATATTTTTTTTTGCCTTTTTTATACAGGTATATGATATTGGGTGATGTGTGTATATCATTAGTACAATGTGGTGACGTAGTGCATTTTATTCCGGGGTGTCTCAACGTCTTGCAAGCTAAGTCTAACTGTTTAAAACCAGTCGCTTACTTGGGACGTATACCCGCCGTGCTTAGCAGTCATGCCATGATTAATAGCAGGTGGGTACCCGAAGACGTTCATCGTATTCTCGAATTGTAAAAGTGTAGGTTTAACTGTTTTTTTATTAATATCTGATTTTTTTTTTCTCTCTGTTCCCATTTAATATACAGAGTGATTTTTTTATCATAACCCACTCAATTACTTACAGAATAATAATAATTTATAAATTTTTTTTTATTATTACCTTTAGTTACACATTATTCTTGAATTATTAACTATGTAATAATTTTTAAGTTTATCCCTTATGCCTGGTAAAGGCGTCAACTTTGTTTTTTTAAATGGTAACACATATTTTTAATTTAATAAAATGTTTGAGTTTTTAATTTAATAGTAAATGGCATTTGAATTTTTAATATAACTTTATTAGCTTATTAGATATAAACATTTAAAGTTTCAAAATTTTGAGTTAATATACATGTATAATACACATGGGATTGTAAATACAGGTAGCTCATTGGTTTTTTATAATATTGCTATCACAGTCACGGATTGTTTATTATCAATTATGATTATCAATAGATATACTTTCTGTATTGTCAGTTAGTGTATTTATAAACTCATAACAATGTGCCTTACTACAATTGATAATAACAATGCTGTGTACCTGCTAATATCGATGTCATAAAAAACCAATTAGCTACCTGTATTTGTAATCCCTTGTGTATTATACCTATATATTAACTCAAAAATTTGAAACTTTAAATGTTTATATCTAATAAACAAATTAAGTTTCATTAAAAATTCAAATGCCATTTACTATTGAATTAAAAACTCAAACATTTTATTAAATTAAAAATATGTGTTACCATTTAAAAAAACAAAGTTGACACCCTTACCAGGCATAAGGGATGAACTTAAAAAGTATTACATAGTTAATAATTCAAGAATAATGTGTAACTAAAGATAATAATAAAAAAAAATTTTTTAATTATTATTATTCTGTAAGTAATTGAGTGGGTTATGATAAAAAAATCACCCTGTATAGACGAGGTTTTTTTGGTCGTTCGGTTTTTTGCCTCGTATTAACTTAACTTTTTTTTGTTTTTTTTTTTTAATAAAGTCCCCTTAATTTAACTTAACCATCATCTTATTTTTTTTGCGTGTTCCATCTTCAATGGACTCGTATATTTTTTTATCTTTCTTCCTTTAAAAAATCTAATCCCCTAAGTTTATAAGGTTCAGGCAATGGCCTTGTATAAGGTCATCCCTCATCATCATGGTTATGTAACAACTGTCACGAGGTTTTGGTGTACATCAACTATCAACGACTCAACGGACCTCAAATACAATTTTTTTATAAATATTTTTTTTTAAATTGCTATCATTGCGATGAATCATGTAGTTG